GATCTTCCTGCCTCAGTCTCCCAAGTGCTGGGATTATAGGCATGTGCCACCATGCCCAGCCCACCCCCTTCTTAAAAAATTGAGACAGCATCTTACTAAATCACTAAACAGCCCATGCTGGACTTGAACTCACAATTCTCTTGTCTCACCTTCCCAAGTGTTGCCATTACAAGTGTGTACCACCATGATCTGCTCATTACTTAAATGTATACATGTCAGCTAAACTATATCCAAGAGCAGTACTAACAATTTATATTTACATTATGCTTATGTGTCAGGCTGTACACATCTACCCAACAACTTGGTTTAAATACTATTTCTTATCCTTATTTACTGAGGAGAAAAATATGAAGAAAATGAGCCATTATCCAGCTAGTATTACAAGTGGTAGAGCAGTAATGTGGACCAAGGCACTCCGGCTCCCAATGCTATGCCCCTAACCGCATCATTATACTGCCTCTCAAAAGCCATGTCCCCAGCACACGAATTCCACAGGAGGGAGCATGCGCAAACGGACAGAAAAGACGAAAACGAGTGGCTCCTGAGCAAGTAACTAAAAGTTTCTATCTTTACATAATCTTGAGGCCCAAGAAAAGCACTTACTCGGAAAAGCCTTTCCACTTCAGCAGATATTCCACTTGCCCCTTAACCACACGCCTGTCTAACACTTTCTCCACGACATACTCCTCTTCGTCCTCGGAAGAAGAACTGTCAGCTGTCCTCTTGGTTTTCTTTCCCATGTCGCACACTGTTCCACCTGAAGGACTAAGGCCACCGGGTTCCTGCAAAGGGGAAGGACCAAACGGTTACAATCCAAGTCAGGGTTAAAGACTGTCTTGACAGAGGAGGGGGGAATACCACGCTGCAGGTACCGTTTTCCTGGATCTATAATCATTACACAGACAATTCCGAAGAATTTAATTTTTAAAAATGGGCCAATCTTCACTTCCCCAACTATAAGTTTCTTTTCATTTAAAGAGATCAAAATTATTAGCTGGCATAGTTGTCAAAGTCCTCTATTTTCATATTCCAAATGATAAACAGTGTGCTCTATATCCTGGCTACTTTTGTGTTTATACACCAGGGACACAAAAACGTGGTAAACCTTGAGGAAAATTACAAGGACACAAGAACATCTTTCCCTCCAGTGTGAGTAAGGGTTTATAAAAATGAAAAAAAGAAAACCACCAACATGCAACTCTACTCTGAGCCTCTTGACCTGTCTTTTAGCAGGGGAAAAAAAAGCCTGCTAAGGCATCTTTCATCACGTTTCCAGTGACTCGGTACATTTCCCTTACACAAACTAAGTTTGTCTGCTTTAGAGCATCCATCAGCTCACAAAAGCAAAGCTGACATCTCAGACACAGTGAGTCTCCTTTTTAGCAAGCTCATCTGGGGATGGGAGAGAAGCAAGGGAGGAAAAAATTTTTTAGTCCTAAAATTCACAATCAGTCACTGGAGTATTCAGTAATTCCCAGGGCTCAACTAACCCAAACAGTTAAGGAGGTGCCTCGCCTCTTAACTGAAGTTGACTCTGGGCCAAAGGAAGAGGAGGAGGGGAAAAGTCTGGCTCCAGACTCAGCATCAACACGAAGGCCCCTCCAGGCACAGAGGAGCCATTCATAGGCCCAAGGAAGCCGAGGCACGGCAACACAAATGGAAATGGAGTTAAACTCAGAAATATGCACATCAGGGGGTGCTCAGCGGAGAATTTAGCTTAGCTTTGCTTTTTTAATTTCCACACTCTTGTTCCCTTAATCATTTTTAGGAATTCTTCCTTCACCGTGTTACATGGTACCTCCAGTCTAGAGTACCAGGAACTGTTTTCTTAGCTGAACTTCATTTCTATTTTGCTGTAATCTTTGAAGATGTTCTTCAGCACTCTGAAATATTTTCATCTTGGCCAAAAAGGCCACTAGTCTCGGAGTTACGTGCAAACAAGCACAAGTTACATTATCAATTCACTTGAAATTAGTACATTTTAAGAAATTACTACAAGAACACATTGTCGGAAACCGTACCTCCAGAACTTACCAGCAATAGGTAGGCCCACCTGAAAAATTGCCTGTAACCATTAATGCCCCATAACAAAGCTAAGTTTTCCTTAAAGATACTTTATTTGGAAGAGGGGGCATGGGGCAATGTAGATAGAGGGCTTTAACATAATCTTTCCATGAATTTATGAGGCTGCTAAGCTTCAAGTAAACCTATCTGATTTGTTTTATTTAAAATTCTGCCTCCGACCTCACCAGAGACAGGAAATGTCATATTCCAGGGAGCGTACCCCGCCCCCACCCTCACTCACCTTGGAATTTCCGGGAGCTGAGCAGTTTAGGTCAGAGCGCTGGGGTTAAAACCAGCCCCATGTTAGACGCATGCAGGGAAGCATTGTGGCTACGGTCTCCCCTGCTTCACCAGGAAAAACAGATTTACATATGTGTTCTTCAGTTTGAGGAAGGGAAGAGGAAAATTCCCCTTTATACCTTCATGCAGAAGAAAGGCCCCAAAATTAAATGAATTGGGGTTCCCTCCTTTACCTACCGGATCGCCCCAGTTCTTTCTTTCCCTCTGGGCTAACAGGAGGGGCCTTCCCTCCCAGGTCTGGGGCTTGGCGGGCTGGCAGCTCCCCCGCCCCCACCCAGCTGCCAGGGCGCCACTGCGCAGCTGTCCCAGTCCGTTGCCATGGCAACTGGCAGCCGTACCAGACTAAGGGGGAGAGGCAAAAGAAAAAGTTAAAAGCCTTAACTTTCTTTTTCAGAGAAGACTGGGTGGTGAAGTTGTAAGGTACCTCCCTTGGCCTCCAAGCTAAGGCATTCAGAGCTCAAGGGAATGGTTTCTTGGGTTTTAAATCCAGATTTTATTCAAAAACACTGCAGATTAATCAATAGCATTTTAAGATCATCTAACCAGATTAGAGCTCACTGGAAGGGGGAGGGGAAGGCCTAGGTACTCCTACAGCAGGCTCCGTAGAAACCACCCCCAGCCTAGCCCACTGGAAGCATTTTGGGCAGGGCCTTTTCTACCATCTGTCACTGTACAGTTAATTAAAATCGGTTGGGGGGAAATAACAAGAGGGGGAGGGGAAGCATTTTAAAGAAACAATATAACTTTCTTTCTTGGGAAGATTAGTAGGCACAGAACTGGAATCCACAGACTTGAAACAATGACAAAAAAAATCAAGGAAAAAAACCCACAAAAACCTTTCAATTGAAATTATAGTGGGGGAAAAATTAATTCCTAAGCACGGGGGTTACAGAAAGGAGGGAAGGGCGGGTCAGCCACCCCCATGACTGTTAAATTAAAATACTCAGTAGCTGTTCAGGTAACGTTACAAAACTGATTTCCTAGTAATTATACCCCTTGGGTGCGTTATTAGTACACAACGCCCTATATCAGTAATCCCTAGTACTATACTTGAGAAAGGGAGGACTGGAATAAAGAAGAGAGACAGACACTAAGTTCCAGTAACATCTTCTGCACCTGGCCCCAGCTCCAAAGTCCCCCCCTCACCGTGCTTTGCAGAGGGGAGCCCTTCCTCTCAGAGGCAGAAGGCACCCCGGCTTCACACTGCTCAGCCAGGGCTCCACCTGAGCCACACCCTCACCCAAAGGGAACTCTAGAGCCAGAAGTCACTGCCATAGGAGAGTAAGGACAAGGGACAATCAAAAGTGGACAAAGGCCATTATTTTGGCTTTCAGAGGAAACAATAGGTTATGCAAGCAAAGTAAAAAATTTTAATACAGGGGATTTCCTCAAATTTGAAAAGACTTATCAAGAAACCTGTATAAAAACTGCCTTTTCCAATTCTTACCTTTTCTTAATCTTATGTAATTAAGGGGTTAAAAAAATAAGGCCAAAGACATTAAAACAGTGCCAGGGTTACGGGTGTGCATACTGTAATGTCATACAGCACTGGGGAAGCTGAGGCAGGAAGACTGCTTAGAGTTCACAGGCAGCAGCTTGGGCTACATAGTAAATTCAAGGCCAGTCTGGGATATAACAGCATGACCTTGTCTCAAACAAAAAAAAAAAAAAGGAAAAGAGAATTAAAACAGGGTTCTGGTTCTGTGATTAACTTGCCATGTATGGTCTTGAGTAAATAAATTTTAGATCTAACCCCAGCACCATTATAGCAAGCCAAATAAATCCCACTGCCTACCTCCTAGGGAAAGAGTGAGTTTACATTCAAACCAAAGAGCTATTATGTCCCCCAAAGAGAATCTTTTGTAGAACTATGTTAGGACCAATACAATAGCAGAAGGAAATATGTGACCTTCCAAATTCCTAAGCTGGTAAACCATATCACATGCAGCTCAACATGTTAGCAGATAGCAAGAAAAGGAGGAACAGTGCCCTTTTTAAGGCTCTGGAAAACCAATAAACTTTCAGAGAACAGAGTAGATTCTCTCAAGGGTAAAGCACTGTACTTAGTCAGAAAAGCACTGAAAATGGCAGAATGAAAGACTAATGCTAGGGGCTGGGGATTTAGCTCAGCGGCAAAGCGCCTGCCTGGCAAGCACAAGGTCGTGAGTTCGGTTCCCAGTACCGGAGAATAACCAAAAAAAAAAAAGAAAGACTAATGCTAATTCTGTGAAGGGATAAAGGATAGGAAAAAAAGGACAGCTATGATAGCATTTTGATAGAATGTTTAAAATAAGGGGTTTCAGAGCCCGGGTGTGGTGGTGCATGCCTGTAATCCCAGCACTTGGGAGGCTGAGGCAGGAGGATTGCTGGGAGTTCGAGGCCAGCCTGGGCTACAAACTGAGCTCAAGGCCAGCCTGAACTGCATAGCAAAACCAGATCTCAAAAAGACAAAAAAAGAAAGAGGAGGCAGGAGGGAGGGAGATTTGGGCTGGGGATAGAGCTCAACCATAGAGATACAATACTTGGCATGTTTAAAAGTGAGGCCCTGTACTCGATCCCCCATTCAAGAAGGAAGGGAAGGAGGGAGGGAGGAGAAAATTAAACTCAATCAGGAAATGAACAAAATATTCTAGTGTCCACTCTTTCTGTTAAACATCAGGCAGCAAGGATTCAGATCAGCTCTCTCCTCATCCTTAAACTGCATAAAGGGCACATGGGCTGAGATCCCTCTCTCTTTGGGAAATGGGTTTTGTAACAGCTGACAAATCGAATTGGGCCTGATGCCAGGAGTCAGAGTCCAACCATAATATTCTTTAAAGAATGGCACGCAGTTGTCTTGTAAATCTCCCGGACAGTCACAGATCAGAAGCTGGCAAGGATGACGACATAGTTCTGATGGAATGTGTCTTATCTTAACCTTGAAGTTACAGATCTGCTCAGGAGCCGCAATAAGAAATGAGAAATGCACCCAGACAGAGGAGGAGACATAATTCTCTTTTAGACAGTGCGACCCAGTGTATTAGGGTCAAATGAAACACAAAGCCAGACGGACAATTTAAGGGCTAGAGCCTGGACCAGATAAAGCATCACGCTGGTGGCGCACGCTGAGCCTGGGGGGGAGCGTTCCCATGTGAGAAATGAGACCCTAAGGCAGGATGACGGAGTGATTAAAGTAGAATCCGGATACCATGCCTGGGGAAGAGAACAGTGCAACCTTATCCTTGTGGAAATCTTCATGGAAAGGGGTGAGCGGCTTCTCAAGTTTCTAGAATCTTTCAAGCAAGACAGCTCTTAGCTTCCTCTTGAATACAGACACAACTCTCTGGTAAAAACATTAACCACTATAGACAGACTTTGGCGACTAGAGCCTATAGAGACACAGAAAAGAGAAGCCCCAATCAACATATTCACGGCCAGG